CCGACTGCGGCTCCGGCGTGCCCTCCCCTCGCTGCTCTCAGGGCCTCGTCGGCACTTTCTGATTTTATGATCCACCTGGCCTTTGCCTCCGGTAGAGCTGGCATCCTCTTCCGTAGCTGTCTGTCTGTGTCCACACTTCCCTTTAGATTGCAGGTGGGCAGCCATGTGTCACCTGACCCTTTCTTTCCCTCGTTGCATCCTTACTAGGACTGTGCATATGGCGGTGCTCAACACGCAGTACCTGTATTAGTTTTCAAACAAAGAGTGGGCAGAAGTGTATTTCCTACCAAATTTGCTTTAACTCTATCTTGATTCACCAAGAACAATTCCTTTCCTCCTTTCCAGGCATTTTAATTCTTACTGTTGTGCTCATACTAGAAGGAAGATACAGCAGATCCTTTTGGAAATTTCAGCAGGCCCCTCGCCCTGAAATGCACCTGCTTCTAAATAGATGTTACTATCAAGTTACTATCACATGTTACTATCAAGGGGGAACACAGACTCCCCGTATGACAACTAAGTCTCCATTACCCGGCTCCCTGAGGCTGCTTTAACTGACCTAGTATGCTCACTTTCCCAGTCTTGAGAGTGCACGCTGGCAGCAGTGACTATGTACCAACTGCGTCTCTCCTTGTTTTCTGGCCCTTCTCTTGAGCTACCCCATGTTCTGGCCAAGTATGATAGTACTGACATTTCCATAGTAGGTAGGGCTAAATGATCCTGTTACACGTGACAGTTCAGCTTACAGGCTGAGACACAGAGCGGTTAGGACGGTCACAGCAGTGACGGTCGCATACCACTGGCTTGGCGGTAATCGTAGGGCAGTTCCTATTCCTAAAGCACTGACCCATCTTTGCTGCAGGCCCTTTTAGTCCCATAGGAAGCACCCCACAGGTATCTCATGTCACTGGGACACTACACACAAATAAAACATGTCACTGGAGCACAAATATTCCGTCAGGCACACCTGGCTGGGCCCTTCTTCCTAGTCAAGGTGAGGCCAGGCATAGCCTCGTGTGGACTTGGCAGCAAGAACGTTTGTGTGGGCAGCTCGGGGTCCCCCCGTGGGCACCATGGAGCAGCCTGGGTGGGAGACGGTGCTAGCACAGTTTGTCTTCCCTGGAGCCCGCAGCGCGATGGTGGGGATTCTGAGTCTTGACTGGAGCGAAGCTACTATGGTGTAATTAGCAAAGGGTATACGTGCCAGCATGGCAAGGAGTGCACGGCAAGAGCGCGGGGGGTTCTGAAAAGCAGACTGGCTGCCTGGGAAGGAATACACGACATGTATTCGCCATTATCATAGAATATATGGAGAAAGGACAGACGTCAGAATGCATAAGCATAACATATGCCTATTAAAATACTTTGGTGTATTTTTTCCCTTGCGTGCATCTGTGTGTGTGCGTGTGTACATATGGGTGTGTGTTGGTGCGTGAGGTATAAAATCTAGTATCTTAGTAAAACTGAGGCCATATCACATACAGTTTTGCAGACTGTTTAGAGTTTATATCAGGAGTCTTTTCCATGTCATTACGCATTCTCCGAGACATTCCTTTTAGGAGGTATACCATAGTTTAATTATGCTCCTATTGTTTGACATCTATTCTTTCTGTTTTTTTATTATAATGAAAATGCTATTGTGTGCCTCTTCATTTGAAAATCTTTGCCTGTATCTCTGCATTTCCCATGAATGGAAACAAAGTTCATTATGCAAAAAAAACCATGGGTGAAGGTCATGAAAAGGTAAATCTTTTTGCAAAGTACT